TGACAACAACAGAGGCAGAGGCTTTTCTTCTCCTTCAAGGTCTATCAACAGTCCCCATGTCTGAAAATCCCCTAGGCCCAAGCATTCTTTCCTCCATGCTCAGATTCCTATCCCAGGCCCAACCCAATGCCCAATCTGGCTCCAGGGTCTGCTTGGTCCATGCTTGGTCCATGCATAGTGTGCAACCATTCTCGTGTACACACCTGGGCCCAAAGTGTGGCTGCCATGGGCATGCAGAAATGGAGCTTAGATGTGGGCTGAGACTGCCAGCAAAGCAGCTCCCTGAGAAGAAGGTCTCTTCTTATTTTTTCTACTTTCCTTTTTTGCTAGTCACTTTTTTGCTAGTCACTAAATCTTGCCACTCTGGAGGCATCTCTGATACCCAAGCTTAGTACATTATTAGCCAAACAATAGACCCAATTCCATCTCTCAAGAGTATGGTAGAACAGCTTCTTTGACCTTTAGGCCAGGCATCTTGATCATTACTCATCATGGGAGTTGTCTGGGGGTGTGTGTGAGACTTCCATGATGACCTTTTTACTTTTTACCACGACTCATTGCCATGTTACCTTGCTGTGGACTAGTTAGGTGAGACCTCTGTTTTGTGATTATTATGCACTGTAAGATTGGTCTTATAGAAATCACTCCCATCGCTGTGTAAAACTGAAGCTTACAAATGGGCTGTGTTGAGTTTCTCTTTATTCCTTCTCCATTCTTTTCCCATCAGAAGGAGGATGGACAGCCTCTGAGGTGAGCCAGTGTGTAGCCTCTTCCCAAGGTCTTGGGCCCCTTCTTAAGTCTATGTAGATGTCTGATCCCAGGTTCCCTTCAGGGATGTCATCATCCTGGGTCGTGGTAGTTGTATGGCCAAGGGTTGGATCCTTCTATCTTTTTCTTGTTTGAATAATCACAAGGCCAGGTGGGCACATCCAGGATGTCCTGGCAGCTAAGATGAGGCCACCACAGCAGAGCCCTGGACTCTGTTTAACACCAGGTAAAGGCAGCTTGAGGAAGATCCCAGAATCTATCTGGTATGGCTGGGACCACTAGTGGGAATCCCTGGCTCACCACCAGGTATATAGATGTGCTGTGCCCTCCTTGAGGGCCACTCATGAATCTCTGCCAGCGTGCCCTCCTCATTGGCCTCCTTCCTCCTTCCTCATAGTTCAGCCACTTGGGCCGTGGGGTTCACAGCCTTGTCTGTAATGTGTCTTGTTGGCACTTGGACCGATGCCTTCACTTTGGTCAATATTGATCTGGCTCTTTCAAGCACTTCAATTTTCTTCTTCCTTTCCCAAGGCCCCCTACATAGTGGAGAGGGTGGGACGATACTGTCAGCATGGTTCTCACTGGGAGGGCTCAGGGCATTGTTGAAGGTGGCAGAAATACTGACCCACATGCAATAAGCAGTGACTGAAATTCCAAGGAAGGATCTGCCACTGATCCAAGCTCAGCTGATGGCAACAGGACCTTGCATTTCTCAGCTCTTTGTCCCTGCTTTTCAGTTTGTCCTTCCTGGGGTGACAAGTCAACAGCCAGGAGATGCCAAACAAGAGGCAGTGATTTGAACTCAGGAAAACAAGACCTCCTTCTGTCTTCAGGGCCCTCCCTGGAGGTGTCAGTGGCTCTCACTGCTCTGAAGGGCTGTGTATTATTTTTGCGTGGGCTAGGATGAAGTCCTACTGAGTTCCTGGACTGAATGTAGAGCTCACAGTGAGCTAGGATGAAGTCTACTAAGTTCATGGGATGGAGGTAGGGCTCACAGTGGCTCCTTAACTGGCATGGGGAGTGGTGAGGAGCAAGTGTGCTTACCTTACTATGTACATGAAAGCACAGCAAACATCAGTGAGTTGCCTGAGGTTCTCTGAACAGGGTCTGCATCAGGGCTAAGCTTGCCTCATGCCCAGTACCCTCATAGGGCAGGAAGGGGCCCCATCAGCTAGTGCCCTCTGCTGCCTCCACACGCTAGGACCTACAGCCATATGAACTAGTGCATTAGGTAGCTGGGGAAATCCCATCCCAAACCCTAGCCCAATGTCCTGCTCACACCCAAGATGGAGTGACTGCTGTCCCAAAGTGAGAATGATATAAGAGCTAGAATGTAATAGCTCAGTAGCAGCTCTTTGGTTACTCTCATATCTTATTGGACACAGATAGAAGGGGTAGAATGTGCAAGTTCCAGTGGTCCCCAAGCCCAAAGCTGCTATATCCTATGCCCAGGTGTGCGAGTACACACAAGAGGCTCTCAGGAGGCTTCCAACCATGCCTCAGCAGCCAGACAGGATCCCAGGAGCCACATCTACCTAGCTACCTGTCCCCTCATTTGCAGAGGGTCTGTCTGGCTTTTAGAAAACTCATCCAGCTCTAACTGGAAAGTAGAGTGTTCTGCATCCTTCTGTACCTGTGACCAGTGGCAAGGTGGTGGAGATATTTTGGTCGAGGACAGGAAGTAAGTTGCCCCCCCCCCCACTTTGGTGGCAGCAGTCACTCAACTCTAAATTTTTCTAGGTTAGAGCCAGTGACTGCAGGGCTCCTGGTTTTGTGTAACAGGAGGGCTACAGGTCCTTCTTTTAATATCAGTTTCACCCCCAAGCTTCTAACCCAGGCTTCCTGCCCCTCCCTGCAAGACCCTCTGTTGCTCTCAGTGGCTGCAGCCTCCAGAGGTCTCTCTGTGATCACTTGGAGGGTTGTTGTGGGGGAGAAGAGAATCCCATTTACTCTGATGCAGGAGGGTAGTGACTCATTTGGGTTTGCTGTAACACATGACCATGGACTTGGCTTAAACACAACACTCATTCATTGTTTGCAGTTCTGGAGGCTGAAAGGTCCAAGATCAAGAAACAGGAATGAGTATGCATCTGGTGAGGGCTCCTTTTTGATTTGTGGATGTGTCTTCATATGATGGGAAGAGGGTGAAGGAACTCTGTGGCATGGTGTGTGTGTGTGTGTGTGTGTGTGTGTGTGTGTGTGTGTGTGTGTAGATGTAAGAAGTCACCCTTGAATGCTGTTCTTCAGGTGTCATCCACCTTGATTTTTGAGACAGGGTCTTTCCTGGTCTAGGGCTTGTCAAGTATGCTAGGCTGGTTGGTTAGCAATCCACAGAGACTGTCTGCCTGTCTCCCAGGGCTCAGATTATAAATGCATGCAGCTTCACCTGACATCTTCACAATGGGTTCTGGAGATTTAACTTGGCCCCTGAGCTTGCAAGGCAAGCCATTTATTGATTGACCTATCTCTTCATTCCTTGGTGTAGTAGGCTCAAAATTCGAATCAGTGCAACTGTTTGGGAGGGATTAGGAAGTGTGGCTTGGTTGGAGGAGGTGTATCACTGGGGAGAGTCTTTGAGGATTCAAAGGTCCATGCAATTTCTGGTTTTCTGTCTCGGTCTCTCTGCCTCATATTTGTAAATCAGATGTAAGCTCTCAGCTGCTACTCTAGTGTCATGTCTGCCTACCTGCAGCCATGCTCCTTACCATGATGGTCCTGGGTTCTAACATTCTGGAACTGTGAGCTGGAATTAAATGCTTCTTATGGTGTCTTCCCACAGCAAAAGGAACTAAGACACTTGGCTTCTAATGGGGGGAAAAAACATTCCCTAGGGCTCCACATTTTGGCCTGATTCCTTCCCAAAGGCTCTGTCTCTCTTAAAATAAGGGTCTTGAGGGGGTCACAATGGTTCAGCCCATTGCTGATGTCTACAGAGATGAGTGTGTATGTGATGGATAATCTTATCAACTTGATTGGAATGATGTCTACAACATCAGTAAAACACACCTCTGTAGGTTCTAGGATGGTTTTGTCTAGAGAGAATTAACTAAAAGGAGAGATTTATGTTGACTGTGGATGGCATCTTCCAGAAGGCTAGGGTCAAGATGTAACAAAAGGGAAAGAGGGATGGGACCTACCTACCAGCGTACATGACTTGGTGGGACAGGAGCATCCTCTATGATGTGGTCATTTCCACCACCACTGTTTTAACCAGAGCTCTCAAGATGGCAAAGCTTGGTGGGACACTGATGGGCACTGAAGCACCCAGGCTCACCCAGCTCCCAAGAGCCACATATGGTCACTTGCCTTCCATTCTCAGCCTTGCACAATCCCACTGTCCAGCCTTGCCTGGCCTTTCTGGCCAGTGAGAGAGGCGATCTAGTTCTGGGGACAGGCTTCTGTCTCCGATTCGGTGACCAAATGCAATTGATTATAACGCTACAATAAGTGTCAAAAATATTTGTGTTTAGTGTGGATGTTTTTTTCCTGTTCAGATTTAGATCTATTATAGAAGCCATGACAAAACAAAGCACTCCTACCACCAGCAGGTGCCTCTGTGGGAGGGGCCTTTCCCACCAGAAGGATGAAAACCAGGGTACAACAGGAATCATGGTGCAGACCCAGCATGTGCAGCTGGCTCACCAAGGTATTGACCTTGTCTCTGGCCTTTGCTGGGCTCGTTTCTGTTCCCTTGGGCGAGGGGCCCATCCGACTGTGCTGTTTGCCTGTTCTTGGGTGTTTAAGTCCACCTCAGCCTGGTCTAGCTGACAGGCATAGCTGGCTTTCCCTCCTGGGCCCCTGTGACATCTGGCCTGGAGACAGCCTCAGAAGTGTGCTGGACCTGCTTCCCCAGTGAGATCGGAAGAGGACATAGAGAGCAGCTGCAGAGGACTTGGCTGGAGCTGAGCCATCCGTGTCTGCCACTGCTGGTGCTCAGGGGACTACATGAGACTTTGGTAGATGGCAAGAAAGTGCTACTTTACATTATAGATGAAGTAGGTATTAGGAGAACATGTGTGTAGCAAGCTGGTGAAGACAGACCAGATGAAAGCTTAGCAGGCACCCTGACGCCTCCTCTGCGCCCTCTGCTGACATGTTCGAGGAATGTGAGCTGAATTAGGGATGGATGGGATTAAGGCTCAACAACCTTGTCAAGGGGACCATGCCATGTTTCCTTTGAGCCCAGAGGTCTTCTTGGACTGTACAGTTAGGACCAGAATTTGACAGAGATCTTATTTATAATCCATTCATTATACCTCAAAGACTGGCATCAAATTTATTATTATCTTTCGTTAAATACCTTAGATCATTTCAGAGAACACTGCCTAAAAGGGTAGAGTATGCTTGTCTTCCCCAGTACATTTTGTATGTGTGTAGTTACAAGTCAGGAGAGGTGACACAGACAGGTGATACACACGTGGGGGAGGTTGAGGAGGGCTCTGCGCCCCCATTGCAGCCTTTGGTCCTCCGCGAGAACAGTTTCTCTGCTTCTACGAGGGGAGCTTGAGACTCAGTCCCACAGTCAGGTTAGATGCGGAGGAATGGGGGTGGTGGAGGGCCACAGGGAACAAAGAGGACTAGAGTCATACATGCATTCAACGTATCATAGAAGAACAATACACTTAGTGGGGTGGGTCTGCTGAGCAAGCCCCTGCTTGCTGTCTGGTCGCCTGTCCTGCAAGCGTTCTTGTTGAGGGGTGGGGCTGGGGGGTTGATGGGACTCATCTTTGTGCAGCTTTCTTCTGATAGTGATGGTTGGGCATTGTGACCTGGGCTGGAGAGGTTCTGGGCAGGAAGGCCCCAGCTTCCATGGAGCGGTCTCTCAGGACAAAGGTTTAATTTATTCAGGTGTCAGTTTCAGGTATAAGTATAGGGTTAGCAGAAAGCAGGGGCTTCCAAGCAGCCTGTGGACACAGAATGATGGATGAATGACCCCAGGCCGTATGTCCTCTGTACCAGCCCCAGAAGCCTTCTCTTGACAGAATCCACAGATCCTGGCTCTCGAGGAAATTCCCAAGCAAGGAAGGACCAGAACACCAGCTGGTTTCTCAGGTTCTAGGCCATGCATGCGGAGCCTGGGAGCCTTCAAGAGAGAGACCTGGGGCTTTAGTGGCTGGTGTGCTGTGACCACCCTTCAGATGTTGGGGAATGAGATTCAGAAGGGCTGTCCTTGGGCTTCTTTCCCACTGACTCTGATGAGCAAATTCTTCACAGCAGTGCCTAATCTTTTGGTAAAAAATGGATCTTCTCAACACCTGGGGAGGAGCTGCTTCACCGTGATTTGTTGTTGCATACAAACAGCTGCCAGGAGCTAGTTAGGTGTTTAGAGGACCCCCCTCCTCCATTCCCACTTCCGGGCTTTGAGACAGATGCAGAAAGACCTCTCTTTCTTCAGCCCCAGAGGGCCAGGAGAAAGAGGCAGGAAGACAGAAGTGGGGGACTTCAAGTGGATGGGATTGTGTTTGGGAAGGACATGGAGGCTGTGGGCTAACTTTACCTGTCACCCACTAGGGTGACAAGAGTAGGTGCTGGAGAAGGGCTCTCTGCCAGGGTGCTTATTTGAGGTCCAGCATCTGTGAACGCTATTACCAGGCAACTGAATGTGAGGGTGAGGATGACTGCCAGATGAAGGGCACAGGAACAGTGCAGACAGAGTGCAAGGGAGCCCTTCCGTCCAAGTTTGACTCCTTCTGGCTAGGGAGGCTGTGGAGGGGAATGGAAAACTCCTCCAGGGCTGCAGCCAGAGATGAATTCCCAGCCCCGGCCTCCAGCCTTGCCCTGATGAGGGTGTCCTTCCTGCCCAGCTGTCAGAGCTTGGTTTCAGCAAGGGGTAGGAGGCCTTGCCGAGTGTTTCCTTAGTAGCTGCTGTCTGTGAAGAAGGGGGAGCCAGCAGACGGGGAGCAGTCGCCTTCTTTACATGGCTGGGAAACCTCCCCATACTCGCTGTTGTAAAACACCTTGCCTCCTTGCGCCCCTTGGGTGGGTCGCCGACGCCTCCCCTGGGGGTCAGAGTGTCCTCTGGGAATATCCATGTGCTGGCCAGGACCTTTACAGCTGCCAAGACAAGGAGGATGGTCTTAATAAGCAAAGTGAGAAGACCCTGGGTCTGATTGGAATCACCAGACACAAGCAGAGCATGACGCATGCACAGAGGCTCTGAGATGCAAACAGATTTGACATTAGCCACACAGCTGACTGATCTGTTGTGACAGGAGCAACTTTGCTGCCGCAAACCTGGACGCAGACTCTTGGAAATGGCCAACTTCACCCCCTCAACCCTGCTTCTTTAGACCAAGTGAATCTACTTGCCCTGGGCAGGTGGGCCTGATGCGTTCATCTTCTGAAGGGTTTTAGGAAAACCAGTATAGAGAATAGCGCCCTCTGCTGCTACCTATAGGGAGGTTCAGGGTCCTTGGTAAAAAGGATATATATATCCTCTTTGAAATTTTGATACTCGCTTCCTTAGGATTCTTATTTTCCCTCCACTTTTGTCTTACCTCACCACAAAGCACTTAAGGTGTAGCACAGCCTTCCCGCTCACGGCCCACTCTGAAGCGGTGGGCTCCCAAGATAGCTGTCGGCTGCGTTATCCATCTCAACAAAGGGTGTCAGTGTTCTCTCTAGCTCCTGCCAAGTACCTGGCCCGTGGACCTTGATTGTCCTCAGTTTTCATATCCAGTCCATACAGAGGCCCTCTATTTTAACTGAAAATTACCTCCACTGTCACCCGTATACCCCCAGACCCCTACTCCAGGGTAAGCGTCACTGTCTACTCAGCGGTAATTCCCCTGGCGTATGTCCCTACATCAATTCCCACTTCCCTCCTGGAAGGTATTCAGAGACATTGGGGTTTCCTCCTGCCACCACCTCCAAGGGTCACTCTTGGGATGAAATCCTAGCTTTGGGGCCCGGGGAAGGGCTCAGTAGATAAGTGCTTGCTGTGCAAGCATGAGGACCAGGGTTTGGATCCCCAGCACTCCTGTAAAAGGAAATCTTGATATCTTTTCTTCATCATAGTAACTTGGTCTCTATTTTTTACATTTATTTGTTTAGTGTGTGTATGTATGCATGTGTGTGTGTGTGTGTGTGAGAGAGAGAGAAAGAGACATATAGACAGACAGACACACACACACACACACTCACGGATATTAGAGGACAGCCCGTGGTTCTCTCCTTCCATGTGGGTCTTGAGGGTGGAACTCAGGTCTTTGGGCCTATTGTCCTTGTGTTGACTAAAGCCATCTCCTGGCCCCAGAATATTTATCTTTAAAACCACATTGTTCTAATAGGAAATACCTCAGAGTTTACTCTTCTAGGTAAACTTATTTAGGTACACTTAATTTTTAAATTAAAAATTTAAATTTGTGTGTAGTGCATGTATATGTGCGTTTATGTGTGCTAAGTGTGTGTATGCCTTCAGAGTTCAGAAGCGAGCATCAGAGTCGCTGGACCTGGAGTTACAGAAGTTATGAGCTGCCAGACGTGGGTGCCAGGAACAGAACTCAGGTCCTTTGGAAGAACAGTAAGGATGCTGCACTCCTGAGCCATCTCTCCAGCCCCCAGGCACACTTCTAATATGTAGATTCATGTCTTCTTTCATTTATATAAAATGAAAAGTTGTTCTTGGCTTGCAAGTTTAAGACATATTAATTTATTCACACTGCCCACAGTTTCTTTAGGAGGCTCCAATTTTACATATACCACACGTCTGCTCATCTTCTACACCTATTTTTTTCTGATTCTTTTATCTCTTTATGTGGTTTAGTTTAATTTTATTGGTTCTTTTTTTCTTTGAGGTAGGGTTTTTCCTGTGTGGGCTTGGATCTCCTGGAACTCTCTCTGTAGACCAGGCTGGCCTCAAACTCATGGAGATTCGCCTGCCTCTGCCTCTGCCTCCTGAGTGCTGGGATTGAAAGCTTTTCCATTACACATCTGGTCATTTATATTGTCCTGGAGTGCCTAGGTCTGTACTTTAAGAGGATTTTTATCTCTCACTTTCTTTCCTGTGTTACCCATTTGTATTCTGAGCTATAGAATTTCTGATTCTTGGTGCAGTGTTTGCTTCTTTACATATTTCATTCTCATTGACATATTGTGTTTGATTTACTCCTTTAAGATTTTTTTATTTTATTTAATGTGTATGAGTGTTTTTCCTGTATGTATGTGTATACTGTGTATGTGAAGTGCCCATAGAGGCCAGAAGAGAGTGTCAGATTCTCTGGTACTAGATTTACAGATGGCTGTGAGCCACCATGTGGGTGCTGGGAACCACACCTGGGTCCCCTGCAAGAGCAGAAAAAGCTCTTAACCACTGAGCTATCTGTCTGTCTGGCCTCAGCATTCATTTCTTAATGAAGATCCTACTGTGTTCCTGTTTTAGTTTTTGCAGTAACTTCATATGGAATGTGTGTGTGTGTGTGTGTGTGTGTGTGTGTGTGTGTGTGTGTGTTTTGTGATTAGTCATGCTGGAATTTCCTACATCAGAAGTAGCAGGTTTACCCCTTGCAAGGGTTATGAATTCAAAAAAATCCTCCACAGTTCCTCAGCTAGGGAGTCAGTCCTCAGTGAAACCATGTGGCAAGGTGATTAGGTTCATGTAATGAATTAATATCATAAAAACAGTCCTTTCCACCCTGTTCTAACCATTGCTGCGAGGTCATGCTCCAAGACCCCGGCACCTTACTTTCAGACTTCTCAGCCGTGAAGGACATGAGTCAGCTGCTCTTGCTCACTGTCACCCAGGCTCAGGCTTGTCATCACAGCAGCAGAAGGCAAACTAATGCTGGCGGCTTCCTAGATTTCCTCATCCAAAAGTGTCATTTCAGGCACACATCTTTGCTGTCACCTCAGGTCCCCTTAATCACATCCTTTCCAAAGCCTCTCCCCCATCCTGCTTTAGACCAGCACCCACAGCCAGCCTGTCACTTTTCCTGCAGTCATGCTGTCCAATCCGAACCTACATTGTTCAAGAACTCCTTCCACACATAGGCTGGAAGAGCATGCCTCTGCAGAGTGTGGGGGTCTGCATCCTGAATGGTTGCTTGAAAAAAAAATGATATAATTGGAATTTGATGTCCCAAGGGAAGAGTGTGGTCCAAGGGTTAAAAGAGGAGGGAAGGACCTGGGCAAGTCAACTCCCTCTTCCTCCCTGTAGACTCTGCCCACCCACAGCCTGTCATTCATCAGCACCTGCCCCATGATTTGACCTTCCTTTCAATGGCTTATCATGATGCATTTCCAGGGAAACCTGTGCAAACAGCAGCACCCCCTGCTGCTGTCCTGGTGAGGTGCGGTTTCTGCAATGAACAAATGCTTTCCCCTTCTCCTTCTCTTCTAGCCTCTTCCTCTCCCTAGCTTTCTCTGAAGTATGGACATTATCTTACTTCTGTAGGGTCATCATTATCTTTTCTTCATCACCAAACAGCAACCCCTTCCAGCTGACCACCCTATCAGAAGCAACGCTTTTCCAAGATAGCTGCCTCTGGATCCTCAGACTTGTGCCAGGGTCTTTGCTCTTCTCTGTTAAGCTTAGCTTTCTCCATTGTTTACTGACTGTGTGGCACATTGCTTTCATGAGATAATCCCTAGCTAATCCTTCCACTGTGGCTTAGGCTTGGTTCTGCTCAGCATGATATGTCAAGAACACGCACGCGCGCGCGCACACACACAGATACACACACACACACAGATACACAGACACACAGACACACACACACATACACACACACTCCCTCAGGTGCATCAGATACACAGACAGAGACAGACACACAGAGACACAGAGACACAGAGACATACACAGACACACACAGAGACATACATACACACATACAGGCACACACACACAGACACACACACAGACAAACACACAGACACACACACAGACAGACAGGTACACACACACAGACACACACACACACACAGACAGACACAGACACACACAGACAAACACAGAGACAGACAGGTACACACACACAGACACACACACAGACACACACACACAGATACACACAGAGACATACATACACACATACAGGCACACACACACAGACACACACACACACACAGACACACACACAGACAGACAGACAGATACATACATACATACACACACACACAGACACACACACACAGACAGACACAGAGACATACATACACACATACAGGCACACACACACAGACACACACATAGACACACACACACACAGACAGACAGACAGATACATACATACATACATACACACACACACACAGAGACAGGTACACACACACAGACACACACACACAGACAGACAGACAGACACACACACAGACAGACAGACAGATACACACACACACACACACACACACTCCCTCAGGTGCATCACAGGCATTAGCTGAGTGTCTCCATTCTAGCTCCTCAAGGAACTATTTTTTAAGGAAGAGTGGAGATTTGGATTTCCACATCGGTCATCATTCATGGTGGTGCATGGTGGGTGGTGGGGAGGGGTGGAGCACTGGGTGGAGAAGCTCACTTTGAACACACAGAAAAAATAGGAAGGCACAAACTCTTCTGAGAGCCAGAGCACTGCCAGGCCCTGGCTGCATCAGCAGGCTCCCGCTCAGGGCCCTCCCGAGGATGGCGAGCCCACTTCTGGAGGCCCTTACCTGAAGCTGCCTTCTTGTCTATGGCTGCTCTCTATCTGCTCAAACTCCTCCGAGGCCAGCACCATCCCACTGTCTGTCTGGTTATCCTGTGGGGAGAGAACCAGCCAAGCTGTGGGTCACATGTGAGGCTCTTCTGCAGGGCAGCTGAGTCCCAGCCTGGCCAGGTGTTGAGGAACCTGAGCCTTGCTGGTCTTATACCCATGGAGACCGAGTTAGGGGAATGGGTTCCAGCCCAACAGAATATGCAGAGGGCCACATCTCTGGCACAAACGGAGAAAGTATGGCCTGATGAAACTATGGTCTGGAGAGGAGGAACTGTGTCTGGCCTATGGGACACACCAGACTGGAGGGCAATAGGATCTGAGATTCCAGTTCCTGAAGGTTTTCATTGAGTGCGGGGGACATAAATCTAGGTATCTGTGGTCTGCCCAAGGGTCCTGCCCTGATGGCCTTATCACTCGCCCTCTTTGGGCCACAACTCACTGACTGAGTCGAGGATCCCTGCCCCCTATTGGATGAACTTAGATCTGAAGCTATAGCATTGATTCTAAGCCACTGGCCACCTGAGCTCTTTCTAGCCTGGGGAGCCAGTCTCATCACTCACAGACACACTTGCTAAGCTTCACTGAGCTTCACTATGTGTGACCTGACCTGAGGACCCCTGCGAGCTTCCTGTTCCCCACACACATCCTAACCTCTTTCAGTGACACTCGTAGCTCTCCGGGTTGGTGATGCCAACCACCACCCACGGGGTCTTTCACATACACACATTCATATATATATATATATATATATATATATATATATATATGGATATATGTGAATGTCACATGTGTGCTGGAGGTCAGAGAACAACTTGGACTCAACCCCTTCCACCATGTGGAAGGGAAGGGATTGAACTCAGTTTGTAAACTTATCCACTGAGCTCTCTCACAGGCTCCAAGTTCTCTCTCTCTCTCTCCATCTTTTTCCTTAAGAGCTATGGTTTCTACCCAGCTGGGGTAAAATGGGCAGGAAGGCCAAGTGTGAGAATGACCAGCTGCTGAGAGAGGATAGCTTGGCATGACCACTAAGATGCAAAGGAGCTTAGGGTGTTCCGTGGAATGTGATATTTTCAAGGGCTTTCCCAAGGAGACACCTCAAGCCTGTGTCTTATGGCCTGACTCACAGTAGGTGAATAACTACCAGCCTAGGTGCCGGCAACAGAGGATGGGACAGGAAAATGTGGTGAATGCACACAATGGGGTTTTATTCGGCTGCAGAGAAGAAAAAAAAACAAAACAAAACACTGTTTTGAAGGGAATGTATGGAACGGGAGGATACCACATTAAGTGAAATAAGCCACATGGAAGGGTGATTATGGTATGCTCTGTCATGTGGAAGCTAAAAAAATAGTTGCCTGGAAGTAGAACAGCCATTAGTAGAGGTTGGGAAAGGGGAGAGGAAGTGAATAAAGGGAGGCTGGATTTTACTGGTGCATCCTAGATGCATGTCTTGAGATATCATTACATCTGTTAATTTGTACAATTTATACATCAATACAAATTAAATGAAATACTTTAGAAGTTTTGCTTGCTTTTCTGTTACTTGTGTTGGAATACCCGAGACTGTCCCCCACCTCTTAGCTTCCCTCCTCCCTCCACCTTCTCTTACCACGGAGGCTTTGTAGGTTGTAGGGGTCATGGGGAATTCTTCAAATGTCTTCATCCTGGAGGAACCTGGAGTCTGAGTCCCTCTGGTCAGGCACCCGGGAAAGGACACACAATTGTAATATCTGTGGGGAGGACACAGAAGGTTCTGATTAATTCATCCTAGCCTCCCCCACCTCTCAGGCTGCTTCTCTTCCTGATTAGAAAGGCCTTCCAGCTGGGGGCAGAGTATGGGTGGGTCCATGGTCTGGACTGGTCCTCAGATCCCATACTGGTGTCCATCACACAGCTCAGCTGACCTCGGTATGCCCCTCCTTGCTTCTTCCCTTCACTGCATAAGAGAACTACAAACCACTGCTGCAGTAGAAGGAGAGTGGGTAGCCATCCCCGGTCTGAGCATGGTGTGGGGCATGGACCAGAGTGGCAGGTATGACCTTCTCCTCAGGATGGGCCACTGGGACAAGGCTGGCCATTTTCCTGCTATTAACCACTGACTGGCCTGCCCGCATATGCACAAGTGTCAGTGTGCACAGTGTGTTGAGGGCTTGGTGAAAGCAGCAAGGACCAGTTAGCTGTTCTGTCCCAGGCATGTCACTGCCCTGAGCACATGGGACAGGAGATGCACACGGGACAGGAGCCCTGGAGCTCCAGCCTCTCTGTCATGCTGGTGAGCATGTGGATGGTTTAACATATTAGATGTGTAAACTGCCAAGGGTAAGAGCCCTGGATCCAGAATTCTAGAAACAGGCTGTTTCACTCCTGAATGCAGTGAGTGTGTGGTTTTCACTGCTCTTAGGGCCTTGCCTGTGGTCCTGGGGACATGCTCTGGAGGGGAAACAGCGATTGACCCCAGCCCACTCAGTTTGTGTCCCCTAAGGAAAAACGCTAAGGATGGGTACTGCCTTGAAAATGGGGTGAAGGAGAGAGAAGCAGAGATTTGCGGGAGGCCAATTGCTGTGGTCTGGTATGGTAGGAGTGTGCCACCAAGGTCCATGTGCTAGAAACTTCATCCTTCTGGTGGGGACACTAAGCTGAGGCTTAGCGGATATGAACATCAGTCTCAGAATGGACAAATGACCCTGGTTGGTTCTCAAGAGACTGATTGTAAGAAGAGTAGTGAGGGCCTCTGGCTTCCTCTGGCTTCCGTTCTCACCATATACTTTCTTCTTCCTGTGCTTCTGCTGTCACAATGCCACCTGCCACAATACTCTCCCCAGAGATAAGCGAATGCTGAAGCCATGTTCTTGAAGCTCCATTGATGTGAACTGAATGGACCTCTTTTCTTTGTAAAGCTCTCAGCCCCAGGTATTTTGTTACAACAATGGGCTAAGACACTCATGGGAAGAGATCTCTCAAGTCACTGTAAGTTGCTTTTCCCCAGGACTCATAAAAGATGCTATCTCCAAACTGCTGTCACCACTAGACCTGTGCCCAGCCCTGGGGAGAGGGAGACTGACCTGGCTGCCAGGCTGTGGCAATGCACACTGGGTGGGCTACTCTCAGCGTCAGCTTCGGTGATATGCAGCGCTGTGGTGGACGTCTGCATGAAGCCACCCTCCTCTGAGCTCTGAGAGCTGTGCAGGGCCATGCGCTCCTCTTCCTCCTCCTGGAAGGAATGGGAGAAGCTTCCAGAGTCAGAGGCTACCACATGCCCACCTTCAGTCTTAATGCTGCACTCAGGACCACTGTGGTCCTGACCCTGGTGATAGGTCAGGATGGGTTGTATGTGATTGAGTACTCTGAGAATTTAGTGGGCCCACTTTAATGCTTACAGCAGGCCAAGCATGGAGGGTGCTAAATGCCTGCTGGCCTGGCCTTGTTCAGCTCTTCTAACTGCCCCACCAGGTCCTGGCAAGTGGGACAGGAAAGGTCTCAGCTGAGCATCCTCAATTCAGGTCCTTGAGCATGAAGTATTAGCCCCAAGTTGTTACCCTCAGGAAGAACCTCTGGGAAGGGAGACATGGAGGATACACAAGTCCAGTGCTTTTGTTCTCAGCAGTGCTGGAAGGTAAAGGAATTTACTGCCATCGTGTCTGATGACAGCATTGCCTTGCAGGCTCTGCGTGGGCTAGCCTGGGACTCCTTGTGGGTAGAGATGACCTTTGACCATCTGTGTGGCAGCTAGAGTAGACTTTGGTGGTGTTTGCCCAGCTTCATATTGAGTGAGATGGGGCTCTGGGCAGTGGGTGGATAGGCTCTTGGGCCAGGAGTCAGACATGTGTGACCCTTGCTTGGTAGCTGACAGGTGAGCAGTGCTTAGAGGGGCTTGGAAGGACAGACAAGGCAGGAACCCAGGATTGGGCCGTGGGTTGCAGCAGCAAGGGCAAAGATGGAGCTCACCTGCCAGCCTCCACCCTGAAGCAGGTCTCCCAGGATCTCCACTAGCTCAGAGAAAGCAGGCCTCGCTTTAGGGTCTCCAGACCAGCAACTCTGCATGACGTGGCGTCTGTGGGGTGCAGCTGGCTGTTTACCTTCAGCCTGAGTGCACCATGACCCTCCCACCAGCTGACCCCATCACTCCTGTATCTCCTGGATCACTATGGCAGTTTGGCTAGGCAGTGTGTTCCCTAAGGTTCATGTGATGGAAGCTTGGTCCCTAGAGTGGTTGAGGGGATGGACCTGTCAGAGATGGGGTCCATGGACAGGTCAAGGGGGCTTATGACTGGGTTAATGCTGATCCTGAGGGTGGAATCTCCTGAGAGGAGGTCGTTGTATATAAATCCCTTGTTTCCTGTCTCACTATGTGTTCCTTTCATGGGTTCCCAGCATGATGACATGTGCTATCATGGGGTGCAGACAGAAGGCCTTCATCAGAGCTGAGTATACAGAGGAGGGTGTCTGTTCTTGAACTTATGAAGTTGAGCTAAACAAACTTTCCCCTCCCCCATAAATTGTCCTGTGTCCAGTATGCACAGAAACACAAAATGGACTAAAACCCTGTCCATCATACTTGTTCTGCTGTGCCCACTTCAGATTTAGTCCTGGCTGTTCCTCCCGCCTGTCCCCCATCATTCTCTAGCTGTCTTCAGTCCCTCAAGTGTCACTTCAATGCCCTCTCTTCCCTTGACCACCTGACTTTCTAGAGCTTCTCAGGTGCTCCCAGGGTGTCTGTGTCCCATCTCATTATGTGACTACCATCTTCCTGTATACTCAGGGGCAGGGACCTGGCCTGCTCTATGGGCTCCGAGGCTGGCACAGCAGTGGGGTCCAGATCGCGGGGAGCATGTTAGTGGATGAATGGATGGAGCAGTGTTGGAGTGAGACAGTGTCCACCCTAGATGTTATGCCCCTGTGTCATCTCCTGCCTGTCCGCTCCTTCTGGGCTTGAATACCATCCCCTGCCCACAACTCCACGACCCCCTTCCCTTGAGTGTCCCCATGCCTGCACTGAGACCTTCCTCCATGCATGTAGACTTCACTTTTCTGCCTTCCATCTCATGATCTGCACCAGCTCTCCCTATTCCCCAGGACTGCACACTTATCTCTCGATGCCTGTCCCCCAACAATTGTGTGGCAAGCCCAGAGACTCACATGGCAGGACTTGCTAGCTCTGGGGCCCTCATTCGAGTACCATCCTTCAGCCGCTGGCAGAACTCCTCGTTGATCTGCACCCCAGGGTATGGAGAAGCCCCTGATGGAAGAAGGTGGAGGGGTGGGTGGGGAACAGCCTGCCCTGCGTTCAGCCCAGCCTCTCTTGTCCCCTCTTCTCTTTTACATTGCTACCAGTGTCGGTAATGCTGTCTTCCCAGGGGCTGGGCTAGCTGCCAGGTGCCCTTCCTCCATTTTGTTCATCTAATTAAAAAAGGCTGGCTGGGGCTGGAGAGACATCTCAGCAGTTAAGAACACTTGCTGTGTAATCACGAGGGCAAGAATTCCCATCCTATGTGACAAGCTGGGCATCTGGCACATGTCTGTAACCCCAGATCTAAGCAGGGCAGAGACAGGAGAATCACTGGGGATTGCTGGCTTCTAGAATAGCCAAGAAAATGCCAGCCCCGGTTCTGGGAGATACCCTGCTTCAGAGGAACAAACAGAACACCTAACACCCTTTTCTGGCTTCCAAGTACATGTACACGGGCACATGTACCCCTCACACAGCTGGGCACATTCTCTCTCTCTCTCTCTCTCTCTCTCTCACACACACACACATTAAAAAAAATAAATCCTTAGAATAGGCTTGGTGAAGTTACTCATTTGGTAGGATACCATGAACATCCACATAGCCAACGTGCATTTGTGAGACTAGTTCCTGGGACAGGGGCACAGCCTCACAGAACCTGTCCAACAAAGTCCCTTTGCATCTCCTGATCATTCTGCTCATAATTTACCTACTTGCAACTCACAAGGACCACTGTCTTGGTGTCTCCTTGATCCTCCTAGGCTACCTGCCTCTACCCCACCTGTCTATTGCTTATTTGTGCATTGTTTGTGTTGTTAGAGATAGAATCCCCTAATACATGCTAAACCCACTGAGCTGCACTCCGGCCCTTCTTCATGTGGCCTGGCTCCTTCCCAGTCCTTCTGGCTCACCAGCAGACCAGGGGCCCCTGAACATCCTAGAATCTTCCTGACCCTGTTTATAGTAACAGTGTTTCATGGCTGTCATTTGGTGACATTTATGTTTTGTTCATTGTCTTCTTCTCCTCTTCTTGAGCTACAGTTGTGTGACCAGCCCCCGGAGGCAAGAGATCCCCTCATCCTCCTGGATGGGCACTTTGCCCTTTACTCACCCAGGGAGAAAATCTCCCACAGCAACACTCCAAAGGACCACACATCGCTCTGCGTGGTGTACACCTTATCAAAGATGCTTTCAGGGGCCATCCATTTCAGAGGCAGTCGAGCCTGAGTGGCAGAAAGAGATAGATCTGCTGGTGGAGTAGAGAGGGCTAAAGCCAGACACCAGGATACCCACAATCCCAAGTTCCTTCTGTGAGGATTCAAGGTGTCTTCTCAGTAGTTGTCCTGAGTGCCCAGACCTCCCTTTCCATCTCCTTCTCCATTTCCTCCTCCTCCTCTCTCTCTCTCTCCCTCTCTCCCTCTCTCTCTCCTCTTCTCTTTCTTCCCAACTCCCCTCCCCTCCTCTTCTTTCTCTTTTCCTCTCCCCACCTCTCTCTTTCTTGTGCACCCCAGACTGGCCTTGAACTTGTGATCTCCTGCCCCATCCTCTTTAGCTCAGACAGGCATCCCCACAGCCTGCTCCTGAGGGTGGATCTTGGATCTGATCCTCCAATTGTAGAGACTTAAATCAGCCTCCTGTGGTAGTGTATCCTTGCATACCACCAACATCTCTTCTTGACAAACACTCATCAACTCCATTTGTCTCCAAACTAGATGAGTTCTCATTCCCTCTCCCTTCCTCAAGCTCTTCATGATGCTTTCCCATCACCTGTCTCCCTCCATCCTTACGGCCTCATCTGGGAGCCCTTCCAGACTGGCCTCTGCTTCCAACCTAGTGCTCCCAGTCCCTTCTCCCGACAGCTTATGGGGGGGCGTGTCAGAAATACACACCTGCTCTCTACCTGCATTTATTTCCCACACCTGTGAGTCAGCATGAATGACAAAAGCCCTCTGTCTCACCCTGATCTTTTCCTCTCTCCAGCCATCTTCCTATTTTCCTTCCTTTCCCTGGCATGAACCCTTACTCAGCTATGGTCACTCATTCAAGCACCCTTCTTTGAGCTTTGCCAGTAGACCCGCCACTGTGTCTGGACCTGTCTATAAGGATTACCTAGAATAGGCTAATTGAGACAGGAAGACCCAGCCTAAATGTGGGCTGTGCTATTCTGTGTTCTTGGGTCTCAAGCTGAATAAGAGAAGAGAGAAGCCTGGCAGACACTGAGGATTGGAAGGAAGTCAAGTTGGGCAGAACACAAGCATATCGTTCTGTCCTTCCTGACTGATACCACACGAGCAGCAGCCTTATGTTCTTGACACTGTGCTGTCTATGCCATAATATACTGTATCCCCTGGAGAATTTAGCCAAAATAAACTCTTCCTCAAGTTGATTTTCTCAAGTGTTTCATCAAAGCAACAAGACAAGCAACCAGTACTCTTGGTGAGCGCCTGTGAACAGTGAGTCTCCCAGCAGCTGGGCATAGAGCCTGTCAGACCAAGTGGACAGTTGGTCTGTGGTTTCCCTCTCCCCACCCACCCCAAGTCTTCTGCCCCTCATTGTCTGCACTCACACTGCCCTTTCGGACATAGTCAGGGTCTTTGTAGATGTCCCGGGCAAGACCAAAGTCACAAATCTTCACTATGTCACTGTCTGACAGTAAGATGTTCCGAGCAGCCAGGTCTCTGTGGATGCACTAGGGGTGAAGGAGGGAGGTGATAATGAGTTTAGGTTCAACTCTCAGGATGACACCTCAGCCTAGATCTCTGAGGTGTCCTAGGGTAAACCCTGCTTTGCCTATATCTTGCTCATTTGGAGAGATATTAATGGGAGAAGGCGTGAAATGAGGACGATGCAGTGAGTTAGGGACTCAGACATGCTGATTCCACGGCCAGTGCTTAGCCTGGAGAGCTGGAGGAGGAGTTCCCTCCAAAATGATTTGATCCCAAGGCCACTGTGGAGTAAAATTATGACTAGGCACATCTATACCAAGGGGTGTGTACCCTTCGCCTCTGAAAAGGACCTGGTAGGGTTCTGGGGACCTACCTTGCGGGAAGCCAGGAATTCCATTCCTCGGGCCACCTGGAAACTGTAGCAGACAAGGTCTTCCATGGTCAGTGGGCTCAGCCATAGGTCCTCAACTGCACAGAAGGAGGGGAGCTCACGAGGTGCTTCTACTGTAGCTCCAAAATTAACATTTGTGCACTTACCCCTGGCCTCGGCTCTCCTGGCCAGGCCCTTGAGACCCCAGACACCAGGGCCCCTGTCTATACTTGTTACCTTCATGCACTCTGGAGCACCCACTTCTGCACCTGCTATTTGGCTTTGTATTCCCATCCCCGACCCTGCCTGCAAGGCATTGCTGTTTATCCTGTGATACGCAAGTTAAATAAGTTAAATTTCATTGCCTGCCTCTTGGGTGTCTTCCCCTCGTGAAGCAGAGTTTATTGCAGTTCTCCCATTGAAGCCCTTGCACCCAGAGTGGCAGGCTAGGTTATCCCTGGGTGCCTATTGAGAGGCTTTAACTGGGCCAGACAGGCACTGGCAAGAGAAAGCCAGGTTCTTACCTTCTTGGACAAGGGGGGCCCTCCGTGCACCTCCCTTGCCCATCAGGAGCCGGGTGAACAGGGCCCTGTCGCTGCTTCCAGGTCTCTTCCGGTCAGCCTTGGCGCTTTCTACCATCGCACGGAAGCGCCTGCGTTGTTCGGGAGATTTCTCCTGCCAAAGCAAAGTACAAAGCTGGCCTGCCTCTCTTCCCACCCGCTTGGGGACTTCCCTAGCCAATCCTGGTGCCCATGCACTCTCTAACTGCGCTCCAGCAACAGGCTTGTGTGCCCACTTACCGCGTAGGGGCTGAATGCCTCCCGTTTGGCTCGCAAGAAGTTGGAGAGGTTGCCGTACTTGCAAAATTCCACGATTACCATCAGAGGGCCTATGACACGGCGGAGCAAAAGCCAGGCACTTGGTGATGCCAGCAGCGCAGTGTTTCTGGGGTCCATCCTTCCTGCACCCTGCCAGGCTCCAACATGGGCCCACCCCAGAACCTGTATGACTCCTCCCACCCGTAGTGAGAGTGCCTGCGCCCACTGCCCGGCCCTTTCCCCAGGGTATATCATTTCCATACCGTTGGGCTTGGTGCACGCCCCCAGGAGGTTGACCACATTGAGGTGGTTACCGATGTGAATTAGGATCTTGAGCTCTGACATCAGAGCACGATGCTCGCTGGCAGTAGCGCCCTCTGCAGGAGACAAAGGGGGTCACAGCACGATGTCAAACATGCCCTGGTAGTTTTCTCAATTTGCCCAACCCTCCTCCAGAGCAAAGACTTGTTAAGCACTGGTGCTGGGAGTGCGGGCTGCGCTGGGTCCCTGAGCACATGCTGCTGACCCTACAGAGGCAGAGGCTTGAATCCGATTCCCTGTGCCTCTCTGTCGAATCGTGGCTGGGACTGTAGCTCTGAGTGTTTTCCTTCTTGCTTTTGCATCACCGTCCCACCCAGAGCTCCCGACCCTCCCTCCAGCTGCATAACCCCTTCTGCCGGAGAGTCCCCACACCTTTCAGCATCTTCACGGCCACGGTGTCACAGCTGCTGCCTTTATTGATGCCAAAAGCTGAGGCTTCCACCACCTTCCCGAAAGCCCCATGGCCTAGCACTCTCCCTGTGGAGGCAGGGGGCCAGTTCCAGGTGAGCTGTACAGTGAGGGGTGAGGATGGAGAAGGGTGGACAGCAGGGGTGACCTGTCCCAAGAGCTTGGGGCAGGGGGAAAATGGAAGCCTCTCTGCCAAACAGGAAGGGAATGGGGAGTGTAGTCTTAGAGAGGGAAAGATGGAGAACAGAGGAGAGGCAGACAGGAAGGCCCCAACATCCTCTCCAGGCAGGTGGGACAGGTCCACCCTGCTCGGAGCAGCAGGAAATGACCTCGGGGGGGCCTGGGAACTGGGAGCGCTGGCTGTGGTTCTGGGGACTCAGGCCCAGCTGGAACTGGTCAGGCCAGGTGGGGGCCAGGAGGGTCATCCTGGCACAAGTTCTAAGAATGGAAGGATTTCTGTCACTTCAGCCTGCTTGACCCTGTGGCAGCTGACACTGTCTCTGCCAGGCAGTGCGTGTTGGGTGGGGCAAGCTGGGTGCTGGCCTCACCGAGGTGTAACCTTTCCCTGGGGAACTCCCACTGGCTGGCGTCATAGGACAGGTATTCACACTGCTCCTCCAAAGGCACCTCCCCGGGGTCCATGATGATGGACAGGTAGCCCGTCTTGATGTCTGCGTGGGCAGGCTGGGGGTGGGGGTGGAGACAGCTCATTGATTTGGACATACCACTGTGGCTTGGATATATTTTGCCTAGGACAAGTGGCACTTGCTTCTGAGTTCTCAATCAAGGAGGGGAGCAGGCCAATAGACCACCTCTGCTCCGTTTGGAACCCAGCATGGAAGGGTGGGGAGGATTCCCAGGGCAGGGCATTGGCAGGTGAACCAAGATGGGAATCTTAAGGGCTTGCTGGGATGAGAATGGAATGGGGAAACAAGGCCCCGGTTAGGTGATGGAGAGAACCTCTGGCATGGGGGAGACCCTCACCCTTTTCATGTTACAGAAGATGAGGAGGAGGAGGACCCAGAAGAAGACAGCGATGACGCCAGTGCCAATGAGTATCACAATCTCCATGCTGCCTTTATCTTCGGAGCCTGAGTGGGTAGATAGTGGCTGCGTGAGAGGAGCATGCACCCAACAGGAAGTACCCTTCGTGCTTGGGTATCACTTCACTAAACGGCCACAGCAAAGTGCCAATTGGATGTGTGGGTTGGGCTGAACGGAGCCAGGCAGGGACGCACCTTCCACTGCCACACTGGCAGAGGAATTCACACAGCCTTTAGCATTGCACACACTGCACAGATAACGGCCTGCATCCTCCTCGCGCACGCGCTGAATGCTCAACCTCTGATTCGAGTCTGCCAGGTCGATTCCTGCAAGCGGTAGGATGAAGGTTTCAGCTCAGGTTGGTATAGGGACATCAGCCTCGCAGACCTCTGAACCCTGCCCGTCATTCAAGGCTATCTCCCCTACCAGACTCTTTCTCCAGGAGTCTTTCATCTTTGTACCACACAATACTGGGCACATGGGCTCCAGCCACCGGGCATCGCATCTCCAGAGAGTCGCTCACGTTCACCAGGAGGTCTGTCAAATTCTGCGTGAGCCGAGGGGCTTCCAGGGCTGGGGTAAGGTAGAAAGGGGATTAAATAAGGGCACAGAAACTAAGAAGGTTCCTAGAGATGGTGCTTTGCGGGGCAGGAAGTAGGGAAGGGGTGGTGGCAGATGCAAGGATGAGACCGGTGGTATGGAGCAGAGGGATTGAACAAGCGAAGAATTGAGCACTTCTATGGCTTGGCTGGGCTGGGCAGGGGTGCTCCTGTAGACCCAGGCTTGTGCTGGACCAGGTTGCAAAGGTAGAAGTAGCAAAGGCTGAGAAGCGTGGCCCCGCCCTCTCTGGCTTGCCTCGCCCACCTCACCCTGCACGGACAGGTACTTCTTGTGGCAGTGCTTGTCCTGGCTGCGTCTATCCTGCACCTCACACACGTAGTCACCCTCGTGCTCGGGCGCCACTCGGGGGATATTCAAGCTGAGGGTGGCGTGGCGGGCCCCAGGCTCCGCCTCCTCTAAGTTGGCCGCTAGGGGCGTGGCATACAGGTGCACGTTCTTGCAGTCGAGCAGTAGAGGGTTCCCTTGAGCATCGTGTAGTGTAGAGAGGTTGAGCCGGTACCAGCGCAGATGCTCGTAAGTGTAGTTGTCTGCCCGGCAGCTGAGACGCACGGACTGGCCTTCTAAGGGATCCTCGGAAGGCTTTGATTCGATACTGAAGCCGTCCGGGATGGCTGGGGAGGAGAGAGGAACCCGAGAGACACCGTTTCCGTGTTTGCTCACCTACACCAGCTGTAGTGTGGGTCTTCTGCTTCACTATTGACCTTGCAATCAGTTCTCAATCAAGGGTGTACATAGTGTGTATCCAGGTTTTCACACTGTCTAGAGCCTACTTCCTCTCCTTTTTCTTCCCCTCCTTGATCAAAGATACCACCGTGTCTTTGGAAGTCAGCCCCACACATTGGTGTTAGGCCCCTTCTGCATCCCTACCTTTTGGATTCTTCTAGCTATGGTCCAAGCAGGGAGCTGTCCACACACTTCCAGGAGGAGGAGCCCGTTCTCTTTTGCTACTGACCACACCCTGATCCTGGCTTTTCCTTGGAATGATTTCATTAGCTTTTGCTAGCGCCATTCTCTCGATTTCTACCTGCCCTTTCAGGTGACTTCATACATATTCCTGAACCCAGTGTCCCCTACTGTGACCCCTTTCTTTCTAGAAGTCACTAACCCATTTGAAAATATGAGTGAATGATGAGAATTTTTCCAAAATGCACACATGAATCACAGGACTCTAAACTGAGAAAGGGTAGGATTTCTCTTTGCTGAGGGTAGAGGGTACCATTCCATCCCACTGCACCAACCCCTAGTCTATAGGCTGAGCATCCCTAATTTTATCTCTTCCAGTCTGTGTCATGGTAGTGGTGGTAGTAGTCCCATGGGCTGGGTGCTCCCATGGTCACCAGAAACTCAGTAAGTTCATTCCTGGCACCCAGGCCTGTCTAGATGATGTGGTACTCCCTGGGGACAGTCTGGTTACTCACTGGTCACATAGAAGTAGATGAGACGTTCGTCCTGGCCCACTTTGTTGAAGACAACACACTTGTACATGGCTGACACGTTGGCATCCTGGATGACCAGCTTGCTCACCGTCTACCCAGAACAGAGGCAGAAGGCTCCATTGTCTACCCAGACCCCTCTTCCTCTTCCAAGAGGCTACTGTGCCCACTAGTAATGGGGAAACAGGTTTGGGGTGAGAATGGCCAAAGTCTAGAGACAGCCTAAACACGGAGGCAAGGTCCTTTGGCAGTAGACAGGTGTCACCGCAGAAAAGCCAAGAAACAGTGTGTGGACAGCTGGCCAGAGCAGAGGGTTTTATCTGTGCTATGTCTCAGATTGTGGCTATAGCCAGTTTGGTGACTGGGTCTCTCCAAGCGAGAGTTCACATTCAAACTGTAATGAGTCACAACAGGGCCGGCTTCTTCTAAATTATGGCCTAAGGTTAGTATCTGGTCACTGTTCAAGGTCTTTGTGATGTGCCCACATTTGTCCAAAGGCACATCCCATTTCTTCAAGGTCCAGGGTAGTAGAGGAGGCATGCATATGTATGTGTATGGAAGTATCCCAGGATTCTAGAAAAATTCTGCCCTCAGGGAGTAGGAAGTTTGAAAAGTAGGGGAGGAGAGAGGTCCATAGGCCCTGCCTACCATCCAAAGACCCCCCACCCCCACCCCAAGCTGGGCACTTCCTGGCCAGGCCTGGAACAGGAAGAGGCTCTGGAGGTGTGTAGGAAAACAGGAAGTGACCATAGGAAGTGGGTGCCTTTGTTCAGTCCCCCTCCCCCTCCTGGTCAGCAGCTCACCAGCCTTCTATGGAGACCTAGTCAGCCCCCAGCCCCATCCCCTTCCAGTCTTGGGACTTGTGGGCAGCTGGGTTCTCCTCCTGGATCTTAGTTTCCTTGTCTGGGAAGGCCTGGCTCACATGCAAGCAGGGAAGCTGGGGCCCAGAGCTGTCAGCTGCAGCTCCCTGAGCTCTGCAGGCCAGGTGGAAACTGAGCACAAGCAGAAGGCGCTCGCCCAGCCTCCCTCCTCTTAGTCCGCTCTCACTGCCACACCTTTCTTGCACCCGGGGCTTTCTCTCCATATGGTCTGTACCTTATTCTTCCCCTCCACAAACTCGGTCCAGGTGTCCAGGCTTTCAATGGGGTTCACAGCATCCTGAGTTATCACCTCCCTCCAGTCTCGGCACTGTGGCATACGATCCCGCTGCTGCCTCCTTCGGCTGCCATGGACCAAGAGAGGGACAAGGGCAGATCAGGAAGATGGACAGGGAAGGCCTGAGCTGAGGGTGGGGGCTACACCTTTGCTATCCTCAGGCACTGTCTCACACTACAGTGGCTAATGGACAGCCCTCAGGCTGGGAACAAGGGCGATGAGGGGCTGGGCCGTTGTTGCAGCCCTGCGATCCGTCCTCCACCCCATTCTGTCCTACTTCTGCTGCGTGCCTTCCTCCAGAGTCCAACTTGGATGTGCTCACCCAGCTTCCAGGAGGACAAAAGTCACACTCAGCCCCCCCAACCCCACCCCAGCTGCATCTCCTTTTCTTGCCTCCTAGGCATGCCCAGTGTGTCAGTCTTCTGCTGAGATGAGGCAAGGAGAACAAGAGATCTTGTCTGCTCCTATCTGAAGAGTGAGGAGGGAGCATCCTAGGACTGTCATTGGACACAGAGCATACAGTGGCTTACTAGAAGGGGCGAAGATGAAGGTACCAGGGTGAGCTGCAGGCCATGTGGTTCACAAGAGTCCCGTAAGGGCCTTGCATATGTCAGGCTCTCCCAGGCCCACAGGCCACTTCTGGGCTTCCCAATTGAATGCACTGGAGCCTTAGCTCCTGGGCCAGCAGGTGGGGCTAGACTCCTTTCCTGTCTGGGTTCCTGGCTTCTGTTCATTCCCTAGCATGTGACCACTGAATCTTGCACTAAATGGCAAATCTGACTTGTCATTCCCCTGCGGAATGCCTTTCACTGGCTCCCTAATGACTTCAAAGTTCCTGCTCATGTGGCACCCCCTCCTCTCCTGTTCTTTGTATGTCTCTTCCCCAAATGTCCTTCCAGGTTCCCCTGTCCATTTTGTTTTCTGTTATTCTGGCTTTGAGCTCACTATATAGCCAAGATGACCTTCAATTCCTGATCCTCTTGCCTCCACCCCCCACAAGTGTTGGGGTAAGGCATGTGCCACCGCACCCACCCAGCTCCTCTTGTCCTTTTGACATTGAGCTGGGTGTAGGGAGCATGGCTCAGCCTTTGGTCAGGCTCTGTTGCTTACAGCTTTGACCTTGGGAAATTAGTCTCCCTTCTCTGGTCCTGTTTCCTCACCTATAAAGGGATGACATGGATGAGCTAAGATTTTGTGTGTAGTATAGAGGAGCATGGGGTGTGGTGGGGGACATACTCACAGGCTGCGCTGGGCAAATGTCTTGCACGGTGTCCAGGGCCTCCAGTGCCACTGGACACTGAGAGGCTGGGGTATCCCATAGGCGGTGCAGGTGAGGGTCTGGCGGCTGTGGCGGGAGTAGATGCTGGGTGAGGAGGCTTCCTTTTCATGGATGTGGGGAGGCACTGGGGGCATAGGTAAACAGCCAGTCAGCTGGCTCCCATCGCCACCCCACACACTCTGGGACTCATCCCTCCTCCCATCCTTCTAGCCTATACCATTCACCACCAGCTCCAGGCTGATGTTTTGCCTCAGACCAGCTGCAGAGTTCCACAGGGCGAGAGTGTAGATGCCGGCACTGGCCTCGGTCACCTCTTTGAGCACCAGAGCGTGTGGATTGTGGCGTCCAGTCACTGCCTTTCTGTCCTTGTACCTGGCAAAGGAAGAGAATTGAGAAGCTCTCTGGACCCCATGCCAGCTCTGTGCTGGCATATGTAGGTCCTCCAATCAGAGGGGTTCTCGGTTTCTTGTTGGTCACCAAAATCTTTAATGATCAATCTGAAATACCTGATCCCATCAACAAGAATGAATTTTGTCTGAGGGTGCCATAACAAATCCTATACTTTTTATATGCTAATTAAAATAAACAAACCAAGACAAAATAAAACAAAAATACTCAAAGTTCAAGTTCCTTCTGTAAAGTAGCATAGAATTTGCACATAAGCTATAGACACTCCTCTATAAATCATCTCGAGATGACATCTGATATTCAAGACACTGTTACATAAAAGGGCATGATATTCACATGCTCAGGGACCATGACAAAAACAAAAGGTCCAGACTGTCACTATGCTTGCTACACATTTGAGGCCTCTCCTGCACCAGATCAAGGAGGGCAGCAGGTGTATGGGGTGGATAGAAGTCCCCGGTCTCAGAAGAGGCAGACAAAACTCAGGACTAGGCTGAATCAACCCATTGTCATAACTTATGTGGCCAGCTCAGCAATGTCACTGATCTTTAGGACCACATGACGTCTGCAGTGGCACTTCTGGACTCACCCTTAAATTCTCTGACATCCCCTTAACCCCCGGCAACCAGTTTCTGCTTAGGGCAGCTACCCTCTCTTTATCCTATCTATGGCCTGGGGATGAGGAAGGCAGTTTGCTAGTTATCTCATGACATTCCTCCACATCTGCTGGCCTCCAGCATCAGAGACTGACTACAATGTCCTCCGTGGGCCCCTCTTCTTTCTCACAATGTGTATCAGCGACAGCGAGTACATGGTGTGGCAATTGCCTGGTTCTCTGACACCGGCCTTTGGATGCTTCCATGAGCTCCCCTGACACAGAGCCTTCACAGGGCTTTTGACTTACTGTTATACTAATTTGGATGGTCCTTCCTGTAGATGACAATTTGCATGGCTCTCTCCTTCCTTCACTGGGGCTGGGGTACTGGTTCTTCAAAGATAATTATGATCTGGCTCTGCCTGCCCTGTTCCTCTTCCTTCTTTCCTTCCTTTTTTCCCCCTCTAGATCAAACTCAAGACCTCCACATTCCATGCTAGTGTTCTGCCACTTAGTTACACTCCTGACACACTGAGTTTGTTTTCCTTCCTTCCTTCTTTCCTTCCTTGTTTTCATTTTTCGAGACAGGGTTTCTTTGTGTAACAGTCCTGGAACTCACTCTGTAGACCAGGCTGGCCTCAAACTCACAGAGATCCACCTGCCTCTGCCTCCTGAGAGCTAGGATTGAAGGAGTGCACCATCTGATGGTCAACTCTCCTCTCACTCAGCTGTAAGTTTCAGTGAGGACAGTGACAACTCATTGCTATATCCTGTTTACATAATGCCCCACTGGGCATGTGTGGTCACTCCAGACCTTTGCTGCATGTACAAGCAAATGCCTCACACTCTGGACTGTTTCTATAGCCAGAGTCCTGGGCTTGGACCTGGTTCTCCAAGGCCCCTCCCCTCTGGATAGGCTAAGCCATGACTCTACAGCCCTGAAAAGGCACGTCTCCTAGGTAAAGAACCTAAGATAAGGTAGATTTAGGAATCCTACTCTAAACTGTAACAGTAGTCAGGGCTTAGCCTGTGACTTGCCTGGGATCACAGAGCAGGGCAAGCACAGAGTAGAACAGGGGCAGAATCAAGGCCGTGCTACCTGCCAGGCTGTGTTGTAGAAGGCTTCTGGCACCCCAGGCATTTTTTTTTAAATCAGGTATGTGACCCTGGGAAGATCCCTTAACTGTCCCAATCCTCAGTGTCTTCATTTCAAAACTGGAGCATCATACTTGCAGTAATTTCATAGGCTCATGGAAACAGTACCAGCACTTTGCTGGGCACATTAGGCCAAAGACCCAGCCTGCCTGCCTGCCTACCTGCCTGCCTGCCTGTCTACTGGGCCATCCATCATTCACTGACTTAGAAATTCCATCATTATGCCAGTTGAAAGTGGTCACCTGTGGGACTGTGATGAACACAAGTGCCCTGGGACAGCTGTACACTTCTGAGAGAAGGATGCTGGCTAAATGGAGAGAGAAAAGTCAGAGAAGGTATGTTCCTGTGGTAAGTACACTGACAGCAGGCTAAGCCCTGCTGGCCTTGGGTCAGAGAACTCTAAAAGTTGCATTTATGCAAGACATGTTTCTCGCTTCATCAATGCCTCAGGACCTTCCCTCAAGGCTTCTGGTACTATGCCATACGGTACTACATGGCCTAAAGCTATGGCCTTGGATTGAGGACGATTCAGGGTCACAAGGCTCATGACTGGGACTCTGAGCCTTCCCAGAAGCCAGCTTCCAGCCTGTGGCCAGTGGGGCCTCTGCTTGTCCTGAGAACCTCTTACCAGGTGTAAGGTGCCCCACGCTTGGAAGGCCAGGGCTGCTCTGGGTTGACAAGAAAAAGACAGAACAGGGACTCCCCCTTGGAACCCTGGGGCTCAGGTGGGAATGCTTGTCCCTCTTCTGGCCCATTTCCTTATCTGTACAATATAGATAGAGGCTGCAGTAGAATCTATCATGATTGAAGCAAGGCGATAGCTCAGAGTGTAAGGGATGATTGGGAAGATGCTGTAGTCTCCTGGGAGCATCTAGAAGGATGCAGCCTTCACAGCCTTCACTGAAGGTCCCTTCTGTGCCCTGGGCACAAAATGTAGGGAAAGCCTAACTCTCCGTTCTCCTGCAGATCTCTCTCACTACTGTGTATCTCAGAGCCAGGCTCCATAAAAGTCTATCAGTGTCATGACATCTCAAATTTGTGGGTCAGAAAGTCCTCGGAGAGGAACCCTTATAGGAAGGAAGCCCAGAGAACAAGTCACTACAGGACAGGCCCTGAGTTTGCTCAGTGTGGAGATCCAGCTGGCCGGGCCTTGGAGAAGTTTGGGGGAATGCAGGAAGCAGGTATAAAATACCCCATATTGTCCATTACACTCCACATACCAGAACCTGGTATTTAAACATTTTGAGGTTTAGCAGCTCCTGAGTGAACCTTCCTTCTAGCTGAATATGTGTATTTCCTTTAGGGGTCCTGTTCAGTAAGGGTTCCACCTGGATTTCAGGGTGTGCAGGGCCTTATGGGCAGGGACAGAGCTCCTTCTGAAACCTAGGACTAATGATCTGATGGGGAAGGACATTGTCCTTCTCACTCTTTGGCCGGTCCTTGTGTTAATCCTGGCAGGGCAGCAAGAGGAGGGGGCCCAGGCTGTTACCATTGGAACTCTGGTGGGGGATATGCTGCCAGCTTCACAGGCAGCTTCACCAGCTCGTCACCAGCGGTGGCTTCCAGGATGGGTCCTTTGAGCCAATCGACACTGATGAAAGGCTTTTCTGCCAGACAGGAGACAAGAGTATAAACGTGGGGCTGAGCTAGCATCCACCAGGTTTCCCATCCTCCCCCTGCAGACTGGAGCTTGCCCTGCTGGCCAGCTGGTAGAAGCTGGGCAGGGCTTCCCCTCATAGCCCTTCCTTCCTTTTGGCTGGCCGCTGCTGCTCAGGTGCATCATGACCTCTGACCCACACTGCACAAGGATCCTTGTTCTGCAGTCTCTACGATACTAGACCCATCCCACCCCATGCCGGGCACAATGACCTCAGCCTCCCAGGTCATACCATGCACAATGACCTCTGTGCTTTCCCGAAACCGCTGAATGCCATTGTTGGCCTCACACACATAGGGACCCAGGTCATGCTGGCTGACATTGTGGATGGTCAGGATGCTGGAGAGTTCTGTGTGAGTCTGCTGGGAACGCCGCTCAGGTACCCACTTACCCCGCTCTGCCTGCCACACCCAGGAGAAGCCCAGGATCAGCAGGTAGGCAGGGGCAGACCCAAGCCAGCAAGGGCACACACCCACCCCTGCCCAAACATAAGTAGTTCTGGATGCCCAGTCTCTGAATTGGCTTTAGGATGGAAAGGTTCCCCATCCCATTTGGGTTCCTGAGTCTGTATCTCCTCCACACAGGGGCCTAGTACGTGCCAGTTACCACTAGCATGGGCATGGCGGGTCCCAGGGGTGGTGCCAAGGACAGGGCAGGGGGAAGAAGCTACCTGGCAGAGCAGCTGACCTTACCTGCTTCCCTGGATAATCCCAGTCGAAGGTGACACCCGAGTTGAACTCAGCCCACACCGTACAGTTCAAAATCAGCTTCTCTCCAACCAACAGCTCCAGTGACTTCTTGGGGGACAGCTGGATGTCATAGAGCTCATTGCCTGGTGACACACACAGCGTCACCTCCCACACTTCTCATAGGCCAACACACACAGAGTGCAGAGCAGTGGGCGGCAAGACCACCTGTGATACGGACAGCCCTGCGCCGGGAACCAGTGGCAGTGTGCCTGCCCTGTTCTTGGGGTGCCCCGGGGTGGCAGTGTGCCTGCCCTGTTCTTGGGGTGCCCCGGGGTGGCAGTGTGCCTGCCCTGTTCTTGGGCTGCGGAGAGTGGTGATGGGGTGAGATGGAAGTGGCAGCCCTTACCTGTGATGTGCACCAGGAAGGGATTGGAAAGGAAGTCCTGGCCACCCCACGTGGTCTCGCACTGCAGGTACAGAGCTTCACGCAGCAGTAGTGTGGGTACCCGCATGCCCCGGCGGTCATCCCACAACACCTCCTGCCCATCAGGGTGCAGCACTGAGCTTTGCTGGAGGGACACAGTGACTGTCAGCTGCCTTCCCCAGGGATGGCACAGGAGGGTGAGAACCTGCGGTGAGGCTTGGGGAAGGGAATAGTACCGAGCGCAGTGTGACGTTGAGGCCGGGGATGGACACCAAGCAGGGCACCCACATCGAGTCTTTCCTGTTGACCAGGAGCGTGTCAGGTTTGTTGATGAAGGGCTGTTCAAAGTCTGAGGAGATGGAGTAGGAGTCGGGTAAGGCAGTGGCTCAGGGTGTCTCTGGTTAGGGGTGGGGTGAGGGGAGTTTAGGGGAGCCCCATGGGTCAGGGTGGTGACGCTCTAGCCTCCTGATTCTGGGTGGAGCACGGTAAGGCCCCATATTCACTCCTGCCAGCCTGGTGTCAGCAGGCTGGAGGCGGGGCATAGACACCAGCTACTCCCTCCAGGACCCTGCCCAAGGCAGGCCTTACCTCTTACGAACACATAGGCGCTGGCAGCTGTGGTGCCCTCAATTCTGGCCTTGATGTACTTGTAATAGCAGTGATAGCTGCCCGTGTTGTTGGCGTGAGTCTGGGCCAGCAGCAGCACCTTGCAGTAGGGCCTAGCTTCTGTGCCTTCACAGTCTTGCACAACCTGTGTATCCTCACCGTCCTTCCCACCTGTGGTCAGTACCTCTTGGGCCCCTGGCCAGGTCCACTCAAGGGGGTGCTGCCCCCTAGCAGAGGATAGTAGAAGTAAGGATCTCTCTGACCCAGTTTTAGTTTAGAACCATAGTCTCCAAGGAGCCTCCCTTAAGTGCTAAGAGCTTTGCCCATCATTACTTCTTCCCAAAGAAGGGCAACCCAGGCTTGGGGTATATCCCACAGATCCACTCCCTCAGCCCTTGGCTCCCTGCATGATTCTCGGAGTTATAAATGGGCAGGCCTTCTCTAATAGCCGGTACTGTGAGGAGGCTCTGGGGCCTCAGTGGTAGGCCTGAGGCTAGAGACAGGTAGGTGACCTGGAAGAGGTCTTAGGGGAGGCTGGATGAGTGCAGGGTGCCTTTCTGAGGGTTTCTGGGAGACCACGTCCTAGGACCCCCAGTCAGTCTCTACTCCTCTGTTCTGGGGAGAAAGGGCATTCTCGTTCTTCAACAGCCACCTTTTGTCCTTCGTGTCTAAGGCAGCCTTCATGGACTGCCAGGTAGGAAGGAGCCATACCTGCAGGATATCGATAGGCTGTCCCCGGTGTCAATGACATATGAGTCCTCTGTGATGTTCAGGGTTGGAGGGGTCATGGAGTAGCCATTTGCCAGGTCTGGGGTGAAAGGCAAGGTTACAGTGGTACAACATCATGGGGTCACATGACAGCTCATGCACTGCCCGGGCACAGTTGGGCCCTCTGGGATATTTCCCCAAGGCAGGGCTAGCCCAGTGGTTTTCAGTCAGCTCAGCCTTGTCTCCACACAGGTAGTCTGACTACAGCCTCAACCCAAAGGTCTCACAAACTGTCTCCTTCACAAACTGTCCCTTGATCTGGTCAAGGCCAGCGGTTCCCACCAGAGCCCTGACTCTGTCCACAAATGGAATCCAATCCCAGCTAACTTTGACTGCTCCCCTGACCTCCGACCCTAAATGAGCTAAGCTGCCAGCTGGAAGAGGAGGAACCTCCAGGTCTCCTCCTATGGGATGGGGGTAGCAGAGGACTGAGGAAGAGTATGGAAACCCCCAGTTTTGTCCGAGATCCCACTCCATCCTGAGTACCACATCTATACTGACTGCTTACAAGGGGTTCATGTATCCTAGATCCATGCTCTGCCTGTGATCTTGCACACTCCCAGGTTCCTTTATTCACATTTTCTAAGTTCTCCCAGAGTGGAGTTTCTCTCTGCTCTGACTGACTGTCTGAGCCTCCTCTGGGTTTTTGCCTGCCCAGGTCTCTTTCACATTCTCAGGCCTTCCCATGGTGCTCCTCTCCGGATACACAAGTGAACCTGCTTTGGCCTGTGAACCCACCTTCTGCCTTCCATGGCTAGGCAGATTAGGTGAGGGCTCTCTGCTACACAGGATCCCACCTCTGTGACTCACATAGTTCTGTACTCATCACCCATCTTCTAGGAGGATGTGCATGTGCTCATGCATATACGTGTGTCTGCACATGTGTGCAAGTGTGGTCTTCTGTGTGAACACATCTATTTGTGTCTGCGGGCCTGGGTGTGCAGATATGCATATCTCTGAGTGATGAGTGTGGCTTTAGTTGTGCACAAGTGTGCATGGTTGTGCATCTCCAACAAGGTTGCATATGCACGCACTTGAGGGCATGAATTCCTGATGGGGCCAGTGGGGAGCATGGCCTGGGGGAGGTCTGGCCCTGGAACTTTGGCAGATGCATCCTGCCAGGATCATCCTGAGACAACAGGAAGGGAGGACTGTGTGGCTGGAGGCCCAGGGCTGTGTCCTGTCCCTCCCCTCTATTCCCTGTCCTCCTGGGATGGTGGTCAAGGACCACCCTCCTGACCCTAGCCCCTTTTAGTCCTACAGGCCATGGGGTGTGGTGTAGCAACTCAGACTGCTTTGTTCCTCATTTGGTTCTGTGGTCCCAGATTCCTATCTTATAGCTAGTGGGGAGGGGGAAGAGAGCCTGGAACATTCCACTATGGATGGCTCTACACACCCTGAGGACAAACCATCTGACCCAGTGGTGTGGTGCCAGGAAAACATGCTCCACACATCAGGGTCTCATTTCAGTGTCACACAGACAGCAGGGCCACCAGTCCATACCCACTGGTCCCTCGCTTCTGGTTACAGTTTGGGGCTATTTTCCCTCTTCTATCCCCAAACTTGCCTGGGACCTTATAAAGTATTTAGTCCCATGGTGCAATCAGGGAAACTGAGGCCTTAGTTGGATTGTATTTCTGTCCTATAAAGATAGCTGCTTGCCTGTTTGCCAGCTGCTGTGACTTCTGCCAAGGCCTCCCTTTTGTGCTCAGCTCTTGATAGGCAGTAGCCCTGGCCTTGGGCCATGGCTTTCTCTGAGGTTCTGAGGTGACAAGGGTCTGGACTCTGCAGATTGTTCTCTAAATGAGTGGGTACCTGACCTTCTGTGCAAATCAGCTGGGTCTGAGTCTGTGGAGACATCTACTGTGCAGGGGTGAGAGTTTGCAGAAGGCTCAACTTCAGGACTTGAAGGAATCCCAAGAGGGTCTTTGTGAAGCTAGACTTTGAAGTAGTTCCCCTCCTCCCCCGCTAAGCACTGAAAAATGAATAAGGTCATACTAGGTAAATAGCTGGGCAAACACGTAGGAGACTGACTGGACAGTAGTCTATAATCTGAGCTACAGATGGAGGTGGTGTAATGGGACCTGTGGGAGTGACAGAACTGATGGAGGTCAGGGTGCAGGTGACACACGGCGTAATAAGAGAGCTCCATGGCCAGTGCCCATCTACCTCAGCCCTATTTCAGAGAGAGGACATTCCCCCAGTGAAGTAAAGAGTGTATATCTGTGCACACGGCTGGCAATTGCCAGCCACAGGACTGTGATAATGGAAGCTCAGCTTTCTTTGGTGGCTTTTTTTTTTTTTTAAAGCTTCTGAGACACAGAGGAGCAGGCAACCTGCTGTCTGCTCCTTGTCCCTCTGACTTAAGCTCTTAAGAGGCAGGGGGCATTGCAGCTAGTCTGTTCTGCAGTCTAGGACATTCCCATTTCCTTCCCTTCTGGGGATATCCCTCTTTAGTCGAGTTCAGTATGTCCCTTCCCTAGGGAGCAGTCATCATCATTCAGGCTTCCGCCTTGTCCTCCTCGGGTTCCTGCTGTTAGAATAGTAATTAGCCTGAATTGTGGCTTTCATCTTCTTAAACCATAAACAAAGATTCAGAAGATGGGTGTAGGAGTGGTTGGTGGGTAATAGATGGAAAGAGGATAAGACAAATGGTGGACCATCAGGTGAGTAAATGGGACGGATGGGAGATTGGGTCCATAGATGGATCATTTACACAGATTGATGAGTAGATGAATGGATGGATGAATGGGAGAGTGTGGGTAGATAAATGGAAGGAAAGAATAGAGCCTGAAGGAGCCTCCCCATCCATACCATATCCCCAAAGTAGGAACTCATCCTAATTAAGACTATCCATCCTGTTTCCTCTTGCTTATGTGAAACCTGATTGAGGACACTACTTCCTCTGCTGGGTTCTCTTCCCCACCCCATATTCCAGATGGAGAATGCCTTTTGGCCATTTCCCCTCCCTGTAGCAACCCCTGGAGGCTCAGGCTTTTGATGGCACCATGTTCTCGCCACTAAAGCTGTCATCAGCTTCTCTCCTGCTCACTTCCTTTCATTCTCTGTTGACTATAGCTCCTGGCTCACCATCCTCCTCCCCACTCCAACTCATGCCATTCTCCATGACTTCAACATCCACAGGATGACTCACCCACACCCTCCCTCAACTTTGAGATCCTTTCCTCCTCTCCCTCATAGCAACCGGCTTCCAGGGGCACACCCTGGATATGGTCACCACGAGAAACTGCGCCATCCCGTTACCCTAAGTTTCCTTTGTTCAACTTCCTCCTTTCTTTCTTGCTCAGGTGTCCTTATCCACCATTCATAAATTATCTTCATCAAAAACATCCATTGCCCCATCTCCTCTCCTAGCTCTTCCCCTGTCCATAGCCCATCACTCTGATTGTCCTTTTGCCTATAATCCTCTCTTCCAAGCCAAGACCACATTCCAGAGAAACTCAACCCTGCTTAGTGAAGCCCCTCACACTGGCCATGCCCCATTGATTTTACTTCTTGCAGAGCAAGCAGGTGAATATATTCAGAATGTTCTTCCTCCCCCACTCTCGGCATTCACAAACAAGACACCAGATGGAATTCTTTACTGCCCTTCATCGGAAGCCCACACCTGCCTTATGGAAGGCTTCCGGAACTCCTGCTCTCAAACCACACTCACTGATGCGTTCCAAACCCTAACTCCCTAGACCCGAATATCACAGATAACACCTCCCATCTTCACACAAGAAACACAGCAAAGCATTTCTCCACTTGCTTCTGGCTACTGTTCCTCTTTATATTCTCCTTTGTGGCCAAAGCTCCCCTCACACCCTCTTGTACACTTCTTGTGAAGCCCCACCACTTCGGAGTCCCATACTTCAGATCCAGTGGGACACTTGCTGGCTCCCCTGATCGCACCCTCTCCTGGTCTTCTTTAGTCTCCTCTGCCTACTGCTGCCTGCGTTTACTCTCCCTTCTCTAAAGGTCCAGATAACTAAAAAAAACTATCTTCAGCTCAGATCATTTTTCTCAACTCAGCTAAAGGTGTCCAGATGTGCATTGGATTTGGCCCCACAGACACTATAGCTTCCATGTTCCTCATCTAAAGGCCGGACTCAGGCTCCACTATCCCTGGCAAAGGCTTCTTCTTCTAGAGTCTTGGTGTCTCCAAAGGGGAATCATGGATGGCCACCTCCTTTTTCCTACTTCAAACACCATGATGCCTGTTATGTCCCATGCACTACGTATTTGTTCTGTGCTCACCTTCTGGGGGCCTACCAGCTACATTTGCCCCAAAGTGGCCTCCTGGGCATTCTCTTGTCTTTCTCAAGATTTTCTTCATGCATTTGTTAGTAATATTAAAAAATGCATACAACGAGGGGCTGGAGAGATGGCTCAGTGATTAAGACCACTGGCTGTTCTTCCAGAAGACTGAATTTGATTCCAGCACCCACATGTTGGCTCACAGCCATCTGCAACTCCAATTCCAGGCGATCTGGCCTCTGTGGACACCAGGCATTCAAGTGGTACAAAACACCCATACACATAAAAATTACATATATTAAATATAATATAAAATATACTTTATAATAACATATGTCTGATATATATTTGTGTGTGTGTATCACAATGCAGTCATATCACACATGCCCTTGAATCTTTTCTGTGATTTCACACTGCCTTTCTGGGGAAATCCAAACTCCTGATGGAGGCCTGGTGCCTGCTCATCCTCTCCTGCCACATTGTTCAGCAGTATGCCATGCTCCTTCCTACCACTTTAGGGCCATGTCTGTGCTCTACACAAGTTTTCTCTTCGTGCTCTGCTTATCTCCAGACCACAGCTTAGTTGTGATTCCCTCACTTTTATAAAACCCGAGTTCCTTCTTCGAGCTCCATTTCAGCCCTGTGCTTGCTTATGATAAATTGTGAACATTTGCTTGTCCTTGCTTTCCACTGTCCTCCATTTGAAACAAGTTTCAGTGGGTGAGGAACGAGTCACTGTCTTTTCTATCTCTCCCTGTGTCTAGTTCAGCACCTGGCAAA